CACCGAATCCTTTACACCATTCTTGGTGTAAGCTGTTGCTGTCTTTAATATCCAGTCTATTGCCAGTAAAAATAGGAGAGGCGGCAAAGGATATCCTGTCACACACCTGTTTTTATTTAAAATGTAACTGTTAGCTTTCCTTAATGAACAACTCTTCTTTGTATCTTGACAATCTGAAAATATTCTACTCAGCAAAGAGGCTCAAGCTTTTCTAGGTGCATGGAACAAGACATTTCCTACCATTGCTCGGCATTTACTTTTGTCACTTGACTTTTTGATGTAATGAGCGTTTCATTTATTAGTATATATGCTGCACCTGTATTTGGAGGTTCCACACACACACGCACATGCATTTATATATATATATATATGCGCACATATATGTGTTTATGCATGCTCATGCGAAAACACAACAGTAAAATTAAAGCTAATCACGATACAAACACAAACATGTTTTCTTTAAATGATGGCGCTTCTTTAGTGTTGTATTAATTATCCACATTAACAACTAACTTTCGAAGATATTTTAAACTAAGAAAATCATCTGTTTCCTTCCGCTACCCAAGGCATGATTGACCCTCGAGTATCAGCGCTGGAGCCAGATCAGATGTAAATCTGTTGAAGACCTCTAGAATTTGATTGTTCTTTATAAAATTTTAACATACATATTTATTTCACATAATGTCGTTTGGTATACTTGGGGAGGTGACTGAAAACGAATGTGACTTTCCAGATATTCGTTGCAAGCTTGGTATGCGGTTACTAAAATTGCTGTACCAGTAACAATTGTTAGACCATTGAGAGTTTTTTTTTTTTTTTTTAATGTTATGTAAACAAATGGATCACGTAGCCAACTTTATGCTTTTGATGTTGTCGCTTTGTTAATCGTATCCTTATGTTGGTGAGATAACAGCATAACAAGAAGCGAGGTCATCTGTACATTTTAATTAAGAGCATGCATGTTTTGTGCTTTAGTATGTGTTGTAACATTGATAGTAATGCACTAAAATATTTCAGGTAATCAAATGTGTAATATAATGTTTATTTCTTCGTTATTGAAATACTATGAAGTTGTGACAGTGAAGTTCCAATCTGCTTCTTCTTCTTCGCGTTCACTAAATGTAAACCATAATAGAAAGTTCTGGTTGTTCGTCCACTTCTAAACTTTAGTCTTGTTCCAGATCCTGCGTGTTACGTACAATTCCGTTTAAGAGATCTGACATTTTTTTTTTATAATGCAGATTGTTGATTCATTGTCTCTCTTGCAGATGGGCTCCGACTAGGAAACAAAACCCAAGTTAGTCGACTCTTACGAAATGGTGGTTGTGGATTCAGTGGGTCTATTCTTGTTTTCCCTATAATGTGGTCCCGAAATGACGTTCTGATGATGTATATGTGGGTAAAGTAAGTAAAAAGTAAAGATCCCTTTTCACGCCTTTCGGCGCATCGGGCATATGAGCAGAGCGTCCCACATTTTTACAGACCATCAGCACTCTGTGGGTAATGTAGTCAGCATTACGCCGGCTGTCTTTACTTTCCCAGGACAGCCCATCCTGTTACCCATTTTAGGCTGGGTCGACCTGCGACGTCCCATACCACGACAAAAATCCACACAGCCTGCAGTGGATTTCGATCGCGGTATGCTGGCTCACGAGTCGGACTCGCAACGCCTTAGCCACGGACGCCGTGTATATGTGGGTAGACAATTCCAAAATGCTTGGACGTAATTAGATGTATCGTACGTTAACAACTGATGATTAGGTGTTTTTTTAAAAACTGAATTGCTATCCAGTCTAGATAATGGAACACTAGGATCTATACACTTGGAAGTTGGATGTAAAATATTAATGACACTGAGTGTAGCATATATTTTATCAACTTAAAAAAAAGTAATGTATAAGCAGTGTTAAGTCTGTGGTCCGTCGAGCTTTAGATGTCAGGACACTAATTGTAGCTCATGTTTGATACCTAAAAAAATTAAAGAGTGAGCAATGTTAAGACAGTGGCCCATCAAGCAGATGATATCAGACTGAGATTTTATATTCAGCCCCCTTGATTTCCTAGAACATTCTTTTGAACCAGTTTGTGGCAGTTTAAATTTGGTAGGCAAAGTCTCTTGAAAAATTGGCTTCAGTGTAGTCAAGAGACTTAGTTAGGCAGGCAGGTGCCTCTCGTTTGTTGAGCCCCAGCAGACCTCTTAATGACAGGAATCAATGTAAATAAAAGCGCTGTACTGTCACGGCGTCTTCACAATACCTGTTTGCGTCAAGGATAAAATAACACAAAGAAAAGTAAAAAACTTTTGTCTCCGACCATAAAACGAATTAAAAATGTGGTTTTAGCCCAATATTTTTAAATACACGCCACTCCATGGGTAATATAATTCTGATGCACACAACACTGACAACTGTGAACCTGTTTTCATTGGCGTAGCAGGCTCATGTGGTACTAAGAAAATTCTAGGTCGACCCCTCCACCCCTCCCTATATATATATATATATGTGTGTGTGTGTGTGTGTGTGTGTGTGTGTGTGTCGGCGTCTGTGACTCAGGCGTTGCGAACGCGCTTCGTAATGTCGGGGTGCAGGGTTCAATCCCTGCAGCGGACGGTTTGTCTTGCGATGGTTTCGACCGTGGTACCGAGAGCCGACCGTTCAATGCCAATGGCAAACTACTGGACGTAAATTTGCCTACAAAAACCACAACAGACAGAATGTGCTGGGGTTGGTTCTGCAACGTCCTGTAAAGGATACGAAACTATATATATATATATATATATATATATAAATATATAAATATATATATATATATATATATATATATATATATATATATATATATATATATCAAAAAGACATACTTTTACTATTTTGTTACATACCCCCAGTGATGATACCCGGGAAGGGGGGTGTCTGTGGGGGGGGGGGGGGGGGAATTCCAACATACAAACTGTCAGTGTTAGATTGTTGGCAAAATGCTTAGACGCTCAGAATGCCTTTGGTTCAAGTACACAGTTTTGTCGTTTAATTGAAAGTCGATCCAGCCGGAAATAAATAACAGCTGATATTCTAGAAACTAAAGGCTGTGGGCGATAGATGGATAACTACATAAACCATTTTACTAAGTGATCAAACAGGCACCAAATGGCTTATAAGAAATGTCAATACAGTCTGGGGAGAAAGTAAAATTCGCATTGACTGGCACCATGCATTGATAGTACCAGTTTAGAAAAAGAAGGTAATATAAGATTGTGCATGGTCAGCCACAAGGGGTAAATGTGTGAACAGTTATTATAATAGAGTTTGACCTAAATCTGAACAACATTTAAATACATCGCTATTTGGTTTCAGGAAAGGAAAAGGTTGCACAGATGCCTTTTTTACATTAGCATATATTTGCGAGAGAAAAACCGTTGAATACAACGATGAACTAAAGATTGTGTGTTTGCATATGAAGTAAATGCTTTTGATATATTTGGCTATTTTTGAGGGTTATGGAATACAAGGACAATTGCTAGATAACATTATTACCATGCACAACACTTTCTTATGCTCAGTGAGAACACAAGAAGGCATACCTGATATGTTTACAGTCAGTACAGGGGTGAAACAGGGATGTGTGCGCTCTCCTCTCTTATAATAATCAGAAAATCCAGAAAACGGGGAACTTTACTTTCTAGAGAAAGGTTAGATCCACAATAATTAACTAACTTCTATTTGCAGACGATCAGTACCTATTCTACAGGGAGTTGACTACAATACTATATCAATCGGCTCAGTTCAACATGCAGAAGATATCAAATGACAGTAAATACGAGTAAAACTACAGTAATGCAGATCAGCAGAACTCACAGTCTGCTACATATCGGGTTTGTTTGAAGCAAGTTAACGAATTTAAATATCCAGGAAGCATATTCTCGGAGGGCAGAAGAAGAGATCGGGAAACTGAAACAAAATGCCAACGAACCAGTACACATATATACCAACTGACATCGTTATTTAGACTTTCAAACATAAGTATGCTGCCATGAATCAGATTAGAAATAGGGTATTAATACCAACACTGTGCTACTAGCGCCACACTTAAACATTATCAAGGCTCACCTACGTAAACTTAATATCTGTGAAATGAGATGCCTGAGATAATCGACAACCTAACCATCTGAGACAAAGTGAGAGATGATACTGGCAGAAAAAATATGGGGAAAAATATGCACCCAATTTAATGTAAAGTAGAAGATCAAATGGTTTGGTCATCACGTCAGAATGCCACAACATCACAGGCCCTACACGTGAAAAGATATGATATGAAATTAAGAGATCACCCTGGGAGATCTAGACTGATGACATTAGAGACCTTCTACATCTACACGGATGGCAATAACCTGTTCATATAAAACTTTTCGCGACGCTTAACGGCAAAAAAGTGGCAATTAATGATGATAATGATGTCGTTTTCTGCAACCATGAAGCAGTCTAAAATGGGTATCAGGCGATGTAGTGGGAAATAAAGGCATCATACATACAATAAATATCACCAATAGAAATGCTCATAGGTCTATAAAAATCATATGCTGTATGCGTCACTGGCGTGGAAATAAAAGGTCCTTTACTTTTCTTACTTACATTTACACACACATATATTTATGGGTGTGGGGATATACACTCACACAGGCACGCACACACACACACATATAAAATGTTGTATTTCGTCTGCACATAATGTATAGACTATACATGCCACGAGATACCGATTTCAAGAACCAAATTAAATTCACAGTTAAAATATATGCACTTATAAAATCACATGAAACATAATTGTTATGAGATAACAAAAAATGTATGAAGCTAATGATTTCTCATTCGTGTAATATAAACTCACATATAAATTAAGTAACATTTGGTCTCTTAACTGACATTTGAAACAGACTTATGATACTGATATTCCGAGTTACAACAAGTATTGGCTGGCCATAGTGAGGAGGCGCATACAATTCCGCAATGAAGGTTTTTGCATTTCTCTGTGTTGTCGGTAGGGGCTTTTTGTGTAATACCTTTTTTTTTTTTTTAAGAGATAATTCAGGATTTTCACAATCTGGTAATGTAATATTGTGCAGGCCCAAGGTGTCTATAATATTGTCAAATCCTCTTTTCTTCGCGGACGTCTTCTTGCTCTTGTAGCTGATCTTCTAAGATATTTTTTTTCATTCACATTATTACTTTATTCTATCTCTTAACATTTTCATTTATATAACAGTAACATTGCCTGTAATGGTATCTGATACTGCTGCAATCGAAATGGATGGTCAAACCACTTGATGTGCTGTTTCTCGATGAATCTAGTACAAGGTGTTATTCTCACAATCTGTCTGATATTATCATTATTCCCTCGTTCTAGGGAAGTTAGGTTGGTGGCTTTTCTCATGTATCTCATTTCGCCAGTGATACGGATGACTTTCTAGAACTCCGGGTTGGGAAGACGGACATGAAGAGAACAGGCCACCCCGTATATATCGTGAAATAGAATATGTTATCGCCTCGCACTTCAATTGCAATAACTTCACAAGGCTAAATTAGGTAGCTGTAATAAATAAATGTATTAATATTATTTATTTTATTTTATTTACTGTCCTACTGTGCCATTGTTTGTCGCACGGGTCTAGCAATTTATTTCCCCACTCCGTTCCATCCTGTGGAATTACTTCGATATCATTGATAGAATCCAATCCAGTAGTTTTTCTCTTCTCATCAATGTTCTCTTTATGTTTTTCTTTGGCGTCCTCGTTTCGTCAATCCCTTAATTTCCCATTTCAGTTTGAAGCTATAACTCTAACCTGTTTTGACTAGCAAGAGGCTAGCTCCGTGGTCAGAGGCTGAACATGGCTAGTTTAAACCAAACGAACGAACAAACTAAAAGATCATGCCTTTAATTTTGTCTCAATATGGAACGCAATTTTATTTTTTAAATCGTCAAGTCCCACCTCGGCTGTCGTCGCGGGATCTTCTTCTTCTGCCTTTCCATCCCCCAATGGAGCATATGCCTCCAACCAACTCCCGCAAAGTCGTTCTATCCTTCGCCTTACATGGAACTCTTCCCATGTCCTCCCCATCTTTCTAACTTCATTCTCCTGCTCTCTTCTCCATGTGTTTTTGTTGTTGTTGTTGTTGCCTTCCTTCATCATATGCCCCTGTGGGTTCCAATGCAAAGACATTCTAGTGATGCTGTTCTCCTGTTTTCTCAGTGTGTGTACTATCCAACGCCAGCGTCTTTTCCTCACCTCTTGGTCCACATGAACCTGTTTAGTTCTCTCCCAAAGCTCTACATTAGTTATTATATCATACCATTTAATTACCTCTATTCTGCTCCGGCACCGGTTAATGAATGTCTGTAATTTATTAGTAATTGCCTTAGTTGTTCTCTATGTTTCCGCCCCATACAAAAAAACTGATTTGACATTATAATTAAAAGTTGTTAGGTTAGTATTTTTAAAAATTTCTTTTGACCTCCACAAATTCCCTAGTGCTATGAAAGCTCCTCTTGCCTTTTATATTCTTATTTTAATATCTCTATCAGTTCCTCCATCTTTATCTACATTACTGCTTAGAAAGGTGTACGACTCCACGTCTTGGAGTGGGGTGCCATTAAGAGAAACCACATTATTACCAAGATGCTGAGATTTTGCATTAAGTATATTTAATTTATCTTGCATCTGACTCCGTGAATGGGAAGACGAGAAATATCATCTGCAAAGTCTAGATCTTCCAGCTGTTTTATATGGGTCCACTGAATTCTATTCCTGGTGTTAGCAGCTACTGTTTTCATAATCCAGTCTATAACCAGTTAAAAATAAGAGAGGCTCTGCTTCCTGTATTAATCCAGCCTAAAATAAGTACCAGGAAATTTTATGAGGAGTAAAAGTAGACATGATAAAGACAAGATCCGTGGAAAGCAGTAAGTCAATAATACAGTGGCTTTGCACCATTGTACTGATGCACCGATAGCGTTAGAAGTATCCTTCAGTTATTTATTTACTTGCAGAGATATACTATTTTTTCCCCCTACATCAGTGTGGCGTTGCTGGTTTTAAATCTCACAGCTTTCTGCTTCGTGTATTTTCAGTCTTGCCTGACGCCACGATCTTCCATAACATTATGTCAACTGTCCAGTATTTTCTCACTCGGTCGTCTTCTGCCTCTTAACCTCTCCGACTTTCCAACCGTCACGATGTACTCACTTATTTCCTTCTCATATTGTGATCAAAGAATATAGATAACTATCTTCTCATGTAAATAATCAGTTCTTTTTGTGGGATAATATCTTTCTAAATATTTCCATCCACCTTTCAAATGCCAGCTGTTTTCATTACTTATCTGAAAATCTACTTCTCCTCAGCTTCCACATATTTTGACTATGATTCACTTCAGTAAATTACGATTGGTACTACATAGCTCTAATTACCATTTGTTCTTGTCTTAACTGACAAAGAAACATTGCATTCATTTTTGATTTAAATTGTGTGACTTATGGCCGTTGAAGCTGCCTTTGTCTGAGCAATCATACTTCTAACTTCTTTGACAACAATCGTCTTTCTTCTGTTATCCTCACCAATACCGAGGTATGCCGATGTTTTGGGAAATGAACAAGTGGACAGATTGACTTACTCTGCACAACTAGGTGGAATATGTATACCTGATAAGGCAGAAGTAGTTAAGGCTTTGTCTGAGCAAGTGTACGATTTGGAACAGAAATTGATCATTACAGTCTGGTGAGAGTGATGCAGCGGGAAGTGACAAGGGGATATGGCCGACACTCGACGCTCAGAAGAAAGGCAAAACGGACATATATATACTTGCTCCACTGGTATCGGAACGGTTCTTAAATCAGCTTACATCAGCCTAACTTATAAACATTTACTCTGTTTTCTTTCAATCGTCCAGCCACGGCTATGGCTATCCCAGGACCGGACAAGCGTATCGTAAAAGGCTCACCGCCTGCTGTTCTCTTCGCCCACCCTCACCAGGCCTCTATCCAGGTCAATAACAATGGCGACTGGCATCACATGTGTGGTGGTTCTCTTATTGCCGACAATAAGGTAATACGTAAATATATTTTCATAAAGGTAGTCCGCATCTTGTGGGAAGAGGATATTTAGAGTACCTTATGACAAGGGTGGTTAATGAGGCCGAAACAGTTACTGAAAGAGGACCATCTAATGATGATCGATAGACTCCTACTGTGCAGGTTTCCACTGTGGAGTTCTTCTGATTATATTAACAACGGTAAAGTTGGAGTTTTTTGTTGTTGTTGCATGGCATGGAGGTGTGTCGGCACACAAACTGATACATGCTGTGGAGATCGCAAATTATGGAAAGGCATAATCACTCACGCCAGTCGGCAAGGCACCTGATGATGATAAAAGTTGGAGGGGGAAACGGCTTAGGCCTACCAAAGTCTAAGGGAAGTCCGGAATCATGTTATGGAAGAACGTCTGTTTCAGGAATTAACGAGAAGAAATCAGACAAAAACAAGATTGCATAAACATAAATATTATTCTAACAAAAGAATGCGCTCAATAAAAATAAACTCACAGGGAGCAAGTACAGCGGGGATCTACAGTCATCAGTAGAAATTATCCTCTTTCGACACACGTTTCGGCCCACGATTCCTAAACGTATTCGGAGGTGGGCCCACCTGAGTTCATGAAGCTCAGGGCTGCTTCCCCGCTGCACAGAATTACCGGATGGTGTTATTATTTCGGCCAAAGACAAGACGACTTTGTGGTTTCGAAGGAGGTACTGTGAGATAAGCCGCCGCGACAGCGTAATTAGAACAGTCCGCATGCCTGGACGACCGAGCGACAAGCTTACTTTGGTTTACCGGACACATGTTGGACTTTTATTAGCAGTTGGCAGAGGGACACTGGCAGACAATTCGTACACGATGGACTTTTCAAAGGGATAAGAAACTCTTTTCCGATAGACACCCGGACCAGCTCACCGAGGCCCGTCCCCTACGTTGTTGCGCTGCGTCCACAGCCAGCTAGAGGCCCTTTCGGCAACCTCTCCCAGTTTTTTAAGTGTTCGTTTCCGTTCATTACCGCGCAATCCTAGTTCTTTTACCACATTGTAGAGCGAAATGGAAACGAGGCCTCTCGCTCCCACTTCGACGGCAAAAACCCGTACTGTGTAAGCCTCGTTTCTCCTCAAACCGGCTGCTAAATCACTGATCAGGATGAGCTGCCGTTTTTGCGCAGAATGGAGAACGATGTCCGGTCGCAGGCCGGTTTTACGGATCAACTTGGGATACTGTTCATGTCCTGGCAGATCAACCGCCAGTAACCAGTCCCTCGCGGAGTCTAGCACGGATGGAGCGAATGCGTTTTTGTTGACCTTACCAATTGGAACCTGCCCAGCCTTGAGGAAACGAATGGGGGCGATACTAGAACTGGCTCTGGCGTTAGCCCTCATTCTAGCCTGGTCGACAACGGCTGCTAACTCCTTTAGCACCTTGTTGTGGCTCAGAATGTAGTCAGAGTCAAAATGTGGCACCCTGGGTATTTGATGATTAGAGAAGAATTTCTGGACTTTCATGTTTACAATAGAATGTTGATAATATCATTGAAGACAATGTTTTTTCCTGGAGAATTTAAATAATGCTGACGCTAACATTTTATTGCCAGACAAATTTTGCTGTATCCCGTCAGGTGCTTTACTATAGAGTTACATTAACACATAATTGAGCACAAACACACACACAACACACACACACACACATATATATATATATATATATATATATATATATCACACACATACACACACACACACACACACACACACACACACATATACACACACACACATCACACACTCACAAAGATCCAACTGAAATGCGAATAGTTTTCTTGCTGCATAGTGTTTTTTTTTTATTAATAAAAATGTTAATTTAACGAGTTTGTTAACTATTGACTCGGAAACTACTGAACCGATTTTTTTCCAAATTTTCACACAACGTTGCCTTTGAATCAAAGCATGTTTTTTTTTTTTTTTTTTTTTTTTCTTTTTTATTAAAATCGCACTAACCACGAACAGCGTAGCTTCAGCAACAGTCAAATCATTTTTTGTTTCATTGCCGGCCCGGATTGGTTTTTAGCCCATCGGCCATTTTTGACTGCTGAGCAGGGCTGCCAACTGCATTATTATATAATTTCATTTCCGCCAACTACTTGAGTCTTTGGTAGCGTAGCTGTAAATATTTTGCCTCTCATCCGGATGACCCCTTTTCGATTCCCCGCTGGGTAATATAATTTTTTTGGCCCCTTAACTGGGCGGCTGGCAAGCTGTATTGTAGTTTATGGCTAGGCTGCGATATCTACGCCTTTTTCGGTTTTGGGGTTTACAGCTAGCCTGCGATATCGGAGACGTAATGCTTAAAGGTCATGTCACGGGTAATCTTCGTTCGCCCTCGAAAGGGCCGTTGCCACGTTGTGATGTGGTTTACAGCTAGGCTGCGATATCTGACCTAAACTCTTCAGTGCTCGGTAATATAGTTGTAAGTATTCGACCCTTCACGGGGGTGACCGGTGTTCGATTCCCCGCAGGGTGATAATTGTTCTTTTTTCCAATAAAAGGGTGGTTGCCCCGTTGTGTTGTGGTTTATAGCTAGACTGCGATATCGGCGCCTTTCGCCCAACGACATCCGATTTCAGTAAAGTCCCAGTTAGCCTCCCCGTGACGCTTCTCGATCAAAAACTATTTTCAAAAACTTTTTTTCTATATCAAGGGCAAAATTAAAACTAAACAATCCTTGGCGACAGCTAACTACTCTGGCTACACCGACCTACACACACTGTAGTGACAGTTTTTGTTGTTGCTTTTGTGGTTGTGATGGTGGTGGTGGTTCTGGTAGCAGTAGTACTGATACTGGATGGGTGATGTGGTAGCTATTACACTGGCTACATGTACTTCTCAGTACAAATTAATGCTACCCATTTTCGTCTGGGTGGACACGGATGCCAAGCTCAATTTAGTTACAATATTTTGTCAGATAATGACTTTTCAATCCTTTGGAGAGGATGATATGATTAGTGGGTGGAAGGAAGGGTAAAGGGGTTGATGCCAGACAATATTAACTGAGAGAGCTTAAAACATTATTTTACAGTTTTCATTTCTTAACTATTTATTTTTGAATAATTTTGCCAGGGATGATTTTTCAATCCTTCGGACTGGGTCTATGGGAGAAGAAAGTGAGAGGGGGGGGGGGGTATGACAGACACTGTTAGCTGAGAGCTATTTTCTTTCTTTTCCATTTCACCATTCTGGGCCACAGCAACCGCGTAGCCGGGTACAGCTAGTTGACTATAAATTCCGTCTGCTTACATGGGAGTGGATTATTGACTTTAATTGTTAAAACTGCCAATGGCTGCCTTTATTATACCACTGTTGCGGTGCGCTTTACAGCTGCATGGCTAGTGCAGTCGCCATGGACTGTGCAGGTGAAATTTTTATTTTCTCGGCCGACAGAAAAAAAATTCCCCAACCTCACCGAGGAATTGAACCCGGGTCTCCTCTTTTGACTGTTAGTACTTCGGAAATTTTCAGCATTCGCCTGTTCAGTGTGGGATGAGTCAAACGGAAAGCACTGTCCTTGTAATTACAAGTCCGTAATTCAGCAAAAAACATCCTATAGAAAAAGCGGGTTATTTCCACTTGACAGGTCTTGATAATTTTGTGCAATCACTTAACTGTGCACATACTTATTGGGTATATACTCTACCACTCTATTTCCAAGCTGTTTCTCCGTTCCGCCAATGTAAATCAACTGGCACTTACATGTAAATTAAAAAATACAATTGGATTTGGCGTACGGGGACACGGGCTCTTTAATACGATGGGTTATGGTTTAAATGTTCTTGTACCTTACCACTGGAACATCGGCAAAGACTGTTTGGCCAACAGCTCTTTAATGGTTTCAGGAGAAGTCGTTCGCATTTCAGCTGGATTTATTCAAGTTAGTTTGAGTGTGTGTGTGTGTGTGTGTGTGTGTGTGTGTGTGTGTGTGTGTGCGTGTGTGTGCGCGCACCCGCGCGCAATTCATTATATTCTTCTTAAAGTTAGTGCCGTGTGCCGATGGTAGTCATGTCTATCCACAACCTACTGTCTCATGTATTTTCAAATTGCTCTGACACAGATGAACCTCCATGCCATGATGTCCAACTGTCCAGCATTTCTTCTCCCTGCGTCCCTTTCCCTCCACCTGTACTCCAGCTGTCTCCTTATCACATGACCACAGAATGCAGTTTGTCTTCTTCTGATGTGGGCAATCAGTTCTCTTCCGAGTCAGGTTCTTTTCAGATATCTTCATTACTATTTTGTCTTTCTGTCCAGGGTATTCTAATCATTTGATTATTAAAAAAAAAAAAAACACTTCGCAGCTTCCAGTTTTTCCCCCCACTAATCTGTCCATGTTTCACTTCCGTATACAACATTGGATTTATATAGCCTTTATGAATTCTCTTTCTCGTCTCAGTTGAGGAAGAAATATTCTTCATTTTGTAAACAAACAAAAAACAATTTCTCTTGCCTATTTTACATTCCACTACTTTAAGACCTTTTCTATCTGTGTTATCAGGGTACCCAAGTACTTAAACATTTCGGCTTGCTTGAGAATTGTCCCATTTACTTTCATGTTGCTTTTCGGAGGGTCAGTATTTTTTTTTTTTCTTTAGTTGTCATTACAGTAGAACCTCGCTTAACGAGTACCTCTCATAACGAGTAATTCGCATAACGAGCAAAATAAATTGTAAAAAAATGACTCGCTTAACGAGCGACGTTTCACACAACGAGTGGCGAGGAGAGGGGAAGTCCCGAATTGTGCGTTAGATCAATCTGTGTTCAGCATTCGTTCCAGTTGCATCGTAGTGTCGCTTGTGATCACACATTTACTAAAACTTTTGTTTTGTTGTGATATATGTACATGAATCCTCCAGGCCTACAAGATGACCTTCCTGAAGAATTTAGGTTCCTCAAGATCCAGTTTATGCCTCCCGACACCACTCCGTTACTCGAGCCCAGGGACCAGCAAGTTATTTCTAACTTTAAGAAGCTCTACACTAAAGCACTCTTCGAGCATTGTTTTCAGGTGACTAAAGGGACCAACCTCACTCTCAAAGAGTTTTGGAAAAATCACTTTTACATCGTTGCCTGTCTCAAGATGATCGACACGGTGGGGGAAGGGGTTGCCAAGAGAACCCTAACTTCTGCTTGGAAGAAGCTTTGGCCGGAAAGCGTTGTCGATTTGTGACTTTGAGGGGTTCGAGACAGTACCTGCGGAACCTGTAGTCAACGAGATTGTGTCTTTGGCCACTATCATGGGATTGTACGTGGATAACAGTGATATCGAAGAGCTTGTGGAAGAGCACAGCCAAGAGCTGACCACCCAAGAGCTTATGGAGTTAAATTGTGTTTCACATCAAGAGGTTTGGAAGGAAAGTTTTTCAGAGGAGGAGGAGGTAACAGAAAAGCAACAATCTTCTGGCGAAAAAGGAGAAATTCTGAAAGCATGGCAAATTGTTGCATCTTACATTGAGAAGCATCACCCTAATAAGGACGTGGCCATGCGCGTTTGCAAATTTATTTAATGATAATGCTGTGTCGCATTTTCGCAGAATTGTGAAGCGTCGGCAAAAACAGATGTCTCTGGACACATCTTTCTAGTAAACAAAATAATTCGCTATGTATCATAATTATTAGGATTTTTTTTTCTCCAAATCGAATTCGCATTCCAGGTGAGTTCGTCCCGCGTTTGAAGAAAAGATGAAGATGATTCACTCTCCTTAACAATATGTATATCATTTTCCTTGAATAAACGTTATACAAAGCATTTTGGAGGGTTTTTTGTTTTTGTTTTTTGTTTTGTTTTACATGGAACGCATTATCGTATTTTACATTAATTTATATGAGAAAAATTGTTTCGCATAACGAGTGTTTCGCTTAACGAGTGTGATTCTGGAACGAATTGTACTCGTTAAGCGAGGTTCCACTGTACTTCTGGTTTTCTGCTGTTCAAACAAAGACATTTGTTTTGATTTTCTGTTACAGTTATATCCATTATTTCTTGCAGCTGTGTTTCATTTTCAGCTATCAAAACAGAAGCGTCATCATATCACATGTTCTTAACAATATGTCTACTGACAGCTATTCATGGTAAAGCATGTATAGATCTAATTCTTATTTCACTGTACGCATTCAATAAATCGGCGTGATAGTAAACATTCCTTGTCTAACGATTTTTTAATGTTTAGAAACATTCTAACTGGATTGTCTATCCTAATGGCTGCTTCTTGTTACCAATATATGATTTTTATTACTCTAAGATCTTTCTTTACTAATAATGTTCAGGGTGGCCAAACATGTATTAATTTCTTAGTTTCACTTTATTATATGCTTTAGTGTAATCAATAAAGCACGCATACAGATCTCTATTTATTGTAATCATTCTTTCTGAAAGTGTTCTAATGAAAACATGACGCTATTTGTACCTTTATCTTCGAAAAAAAAACATACTGCTCTTCTCAAATTTTTTGTTTAATTTTGCACCATATTTTTCTCAATATTTTAGATGAATAATTATATTCTGCTTCCCTTTATTTTATTGTCAAGGTGCAGAAAAGTCCTAAATCAGGGACGATATACTTTCTTGCCGCAATAAAGTCCTTAAAGAATTAACGGACATTGAGGACCAGGCAAGGATGAGGGCCAACGCGTGTGCCAGTCAGTCACCCCCATGCGCTTCCTCAAATCTGGACATATTTCTAAAAGTTAAATCAACAAGGTCGACTGCGCTCCATCAATACTTGACTGTGTGAGGGACTGGTTACTGGCTGTCGACCTGCCTGATTTTCAAAAGTACCCAGAGTCAACCTGAAAGACGGGCCTGAGACCAGACATAGTTCTGCACCCTGCAGAAAAACTCCAGCTCATCCCGATAGAGCTTACCGTGCCGTACGAATTGCGGATAGAAAAAAATCACCTGTATAAGCTAGAAGGGAACAGTGAGCTCGTGGTAGGTCTGAGGAGAGACGAAGCGTACGCAGTAAAAATCTTCGAAATCGAGGTAGACGCAAGAGGTCTTATCTCCACTTCCACATTCAATGTGCTAAAGCAGCTGCATTTTGAGAGAAAACGAGCGTAAACAGTCCCAGAAAAAACTGGGCTAAACTGCTGAAAAAGCTTCGAGCTGGCTTTGAACGCAGCGGAACGTCGTTGGGGATGGGCCTCAGTAGACTGGTCCAAGTCCGTAGTGTAAAGGAGCTTCTTATCCCTTAAAGCCAAAGTGCCTGCTGGTGTCCATCTGCCACTGTTTAACACCTGTTCGATAAACCAACCATAACCCTGTCACTCTGGTCGTAAAGGTCGACAGCCAGTTTCAACAATTCTAACAATACCTGTTGCAAAGTCACCATATCGTCTTGTCCCTGTCCAAGAGTGCAATTAAGCGCAACAGCAGAAGATAGAGGCCTGACTTCATGACCCAGGTCGGCCTACCTTCTGATATTGTATAGGAAGTCATGGGCCGAAACAATCGTCGACGAAGGATTTTTCTACTTATGATTGATGAACTCCTGCTGTGCGTGCTCCCCTGTGGAGTTCTTCTTATTGGTGTAATTATGTAGTAACGCATTATCAGTAAAGAGTGTTGATAATATTAGATATTATCACAAAAGCTGTTCGGTGATTGCTAGGGGCTGTAACAGATCCCCCACCAAAACCCTGTAGTTATAGCTATAATTATCTATATGTTGAAGGTCTTGACCGCTGCCCACTGCCTGGAAGGTCAAACTGCTTCCAAAATGCGAGTGGAGTTTGGAACTGTGACCTTGTTTGACGCATCCAATGGCTATGAGCAGATAGTTAGCGTCAGCTCCTTTGTCATCCATGCCGACTACAACCCCAATTCTGCAGGTATACCCAATGATATCGGCCTCATTTACCTGAGTTCTACTGTAACACTCAACGAACATGTACAGGTAAGTCCTCACATGGTGTCTTTGAGATGCTGTTTGTTGATGTTGTTTGCATCTTACCGTCTGTCCGTACATTTTACTACTGAGAGACCAGGGGGAAGGAAGGGGAACAGCCCATGGCGATGGCAAGTGTAACTTACAATTTGTCGTCTTTTTTTTTTCACCTGCTTTAGACTCTGAAGGAAATCCTGGTAGTTCATCCATTTGAACTTTGATTGTGTGCTAGTGCGTGAGTTTTGCGTGTGCTTCGCTTTAGCTAACTTCTTGGTGTTCAGTTAGTTGTTCATTGCCGCTCGGGCAGATGCCCTCCGACTTCGGAGGAAGTTTCAAATTTAGGGATTGTCTTTACTTAAATCTACCTCAATATCTGTATCATTCATAACCTGCTTTCGCACGTCGCTGCATCTCAGCAAGGACCGACCTCAGGCTCTTCTACCTATCTATAATTCACATTTAGAATGTTGTTAGGGACCCTACAAGACTGGTGTCAAACACCTCATCTTTGATGTCATTAACCGTGAGAGCGATGACACTTTTAGACAGCCATACCAAGTTCTGCGTCTTCTTCTACCTTTCTATCCCCACTGGAGCATAGGGCCTCAACCAACTCATGCCAAGTCGTTCTATCCTTCGCTATAACATGGAGCTTCCCGCATGTCCTCCCCATCTTTCTAACTTCATTCTCTTGCTCTCTTCTGCATGTGTTTTTGGCCTTCCTTTATTCAAATGCCCCTGTTGGTTCCAATGCAGTTTTTCTGTTCTCTCAATATGTGTCCTATCAAACGCCAGCGTGTTTTCCTCAACTCTTGGTCCACCAGAGCTTGCTTAGTTTTCTCCCAAAGCTTTACATTAATGATTCTATCATACCATTTAATTCCCTTTATTCTGCGTTAGTTAGTTATTCCTCTTGTGCCAAAGATGGCGCATAGGGCAGAGGTCATAGCTTTCCACGTCTGTCGGTTTTTTGCCACTTGATGTAGGTCTTGAGTGCGACTGAGACCTATGGTTGAGCTCTCCCTTGTGATGGTTCTACGGAGAGTTTCTTTTGGTCTTCCCTGTTTTCTTTTACCCTCTGGTGACCATATGAAGGCTTGGTGGGGAAGTCTCTGTATGTCCATTCTGAGTACGTGACCGATGTAATTCCAGCGACGCATTCTAATAAAATCAGACACATATTTTTGTTTTGTTTCCTGTCTTATAGATGTATTGGACCTAAAGTCCGACCAGTGAACATTCAATAGCTTTCGGAGGCATCTATTCTCGAAAGCGACTAGTTTCTTATCGATTGATACTGATGATTTCCAACTCTCACAACCATAAGTTAGCACTGGGATCACACAGGAATTGAAGACCTTAAGTTTCGTGTTGTTGCTGAGTGATCTTGACTTCCAAATGTTTGACAGTTTGTTAAAGGCACTTGATGCTAACGCGATTCGAGTCGTTATTTCTGATGTTGTATCTCCCGTAGAGGTTATCTTGCTCCCTAAGTATGTGAAGCTGGTGATTTTTTCAAGAACAATATCCTTTAGTTTGATGTCTTTCGACTCGTTGGTAAGATCGATGATTTTCGTTTTGGCTGCGTTGACCTGAAGGCCGATTTGGCTTGAAATATTCTGGAGGCGGTCCATTTTTTCCTGAGCTTCTAGATGTGTTGTGCTCAGGAGTGCTAGGTCGTCAGCAAAGTCAAGATCTTCGAGAACTTTGTCGACCCATTTGATGCCTAGATGTGTGTCCTGTGTGCATTTGCGCATGACCCAATCGAGTGCTATTCCGAAAAGTATCGGTGACAAGACACATCCTTGTTTCACGCCTGTTTCTACTGGGAACCAATCAGAGTTACCAGATTCCGTTCTAACAAGGCAGCGGGAATCGGTGTAGAAGGCCTTTATAATATTGACATATTTATCTTGGAAACCATAGATAAATAAATGAGTGTTTGTAAATTATTAGCAATTGCCTTGCCCAGCTCGCTAGCGTAGTTAGCTAAACCGGACTTCGCGGCGACCGAGTGAGGAACTCTTTGTGGTCCGGGTTCACGCCCGGGGTTAGGCAGAAAACCCCATTTTTCCCAGGTTTACGGTATCTATGATGGAATCAATGCCGAAGGGTTGCGACATCCATAGTACCGAGTCAAAGGGTTAACTACTCATGGTATCTAGTTACTTAAAACAAAAAAGAAATGAGTTATTGCAGCAGTTGTTCTTAATGTTTCCGCCCCATACAAAAGTACTTATTTGCCATCAGAACTGAACATTTTGTGTTTAGTATTTCTTTTAATTTCTTTTGACCTCCACAAATTCACTAGTGCTATGAAAGCTTGTCTTGTCTTTTGTATTCTTATTTTAATATCTCTATCAGTTTCTATATCTTTATCTACAGTACTGCCCAAACAAGTGTACGACTCCATATGTTACACTGGGGTGCCAAGAGAAACCGCATTACTATTTGCCTTATTTATTCTCATTATCTTTGTCTTTCCTTTATGGATTTTCAGACCTAGCTGCTGTGATCACGCATCAAGTATATTTAAATTATCTTGCATCTGATTCCGTGAATGGGACAGAAGAGCATATCATCAGCCAAGTCCATCCAGATCATCAAGCTGTTTTATAGGGGTCCACTAATTTCCATTCTTTGTGTTAGCAGTTACTGTTTTTATAATCCAGTCTATAGCCAGTAAAAATTGGAAAGGCGACAAAAGACATCCCTGTCACACACCTGTTTTTATTTCAAATGTATCTGTTTGCTTTCTCTCATGAAGAACTTGACATTTCATGTCTTTATATGTTGCCTTTACTAAGTGAATAATTTTCTGTGGGATTCCATAGTGCCCCATCAGTTTCCAGAGAGATTCCCCATCGATGCTTTTTATAGTCTATAAATCTAATGTAAAGTGATGAATTCAGTTCAATGCTTTGCTATCTAGTCAGTACACGATCTGTCTGGCCAAAAACCTGCCTGTTCATTTCTTAGCTTTTTATCGAAAGCATCTTTTAATCTTTCTAAAATAATTCTACTTATTATTTTTTCAGGGACTGACAGCAACAGAATGCTTCTATAGTGTTCACACTCCTGTAGATCAGCTTTTTTTGGCAGTTTCACAAGATATCCTTCTCTCCAGACTGCTGGTATTTCTTCGGTCTCCCAGACATTACTAAATAATCTATGTAGCAATATCTGTTGATGTGTTTATGTTGGCCCTTATAGCTTCTGCAGGGATATATACCTACTAATTTTCTTGTGTTGCTGTAAAGTTCTCTGAGGTTTCATTTTGCTGTTGCTGTCTCCGTTTCTTGCGCTAGATCATTTAAATATTTCACTTTATGTGCCCTTATACACTTCCTAACTTCCTAATTGGCTTCTGTTAATGTATCCTTTAGCAGCTCTCGTTTTGCTATTTTTAAAGTCTGCCTCTTTACTTTTCCTTTCTTCAATCAATGTAATGGTCTCTGGTGTTATTCCCGCTTCGTTTTCGTTCTTTCTTGCCAAGAACTTCTACACAAGATTCATTCCAGATTCCTTTGAATTGATCCCAGCAGACTTCAGTGCTGACATCTTCAGCTAACTGCTACAACAGCTACGTCAGACTGTCTTCCCCTCACCGTCTGACCAGCAGGTGCAAAATTCTAATATACTTATATTTTATAAAGCAATTTTGTCATCCTCCTGTTCTAATGTTTTCTGAGTCCCGTAGGCTTGTGGACTATAGGCCCTGGCACTGCATTAGATCTGACAGTACTTCAAAGGGTGATTTTCTTTCACGGCATTACCCGTGGAGAGGAATGGATATCTGTACCAAACTAATACAAAGAGTACTTTGAGGTGGTTATCACCCTGAGATTTGGTGGCATCAATAGTTAATGCAGAAGTGAAAGCATTGTGGAGGAACACATATTACTCGAAGATGCTGTTATATATATAGAGATATTATGTGATTCGTCAGAAGCAAAGTGCATGGGCTTTCACGGCAAGAATTAAATGACAAGTTATCAAAGAACAGTGGAACCTTTGCTTCTACCACCAGCAGCATGACATTGGAGGTCATGGATGTGACAAAGGCCCTAGAATGGTTAAAAACTTAGGAATTCACGCTTGTGAGCGTACTACAGAAGATCAAGGTGGAGCATATACGGAATCTGTGGCTCCATCTGATTCAACAGGCAACATTTCGCAAAAACACCTTCATTTTTGTCCTTAGGTCGTGCTGGTGTGAATGGCAATGAAAGAGCAGACGCCCTGGCTGGAAGGGCAACTATTGATAAAGGACTTTCTACGGACAGTAGAAACAACGCCAATGCCATGTGGTAGACTTAACGCTGTGAAACTTTCAGTTTCGTAGGAAATAAGTTTTCATTGACTAGACTGCATGCCCTGGGTGTAACTGTTGGAGCAGCGAGACAGAAAAATCAAGTGGATGACACCAGAAGTTACATCAGCCAGAACAGAATAGGAGTTATTAGCCTAAAAACACTTAGAGTCATACTCAGGAAGTGATTGGAGCTCTTATGGTCATGTCTGATGTGATAAGAAGATGATCTTTAAGGGAACTATGCATTAGATTTTCGTCCTGATTATAGTTCATGATTAGCATGTGCTGTTTCAGGATGATCAATAAATGTTGAATTGTCACCTTCATTCTTGACTGCCACCACCTCCATTTTTAAACTAGACGTTGTGATATCATATCCTATATTTTTGTCGCACTAAGCGACGTCCACTATCTTTGGTCGTCTACTTCTCAACATAGAGCCATCTGTATAAAAAATTACATCACCTGGCGGGAGTTCTCATGAATCATTTGTAGAACTTCTGATTCTGCAGTACCAGCTGGGCAGTCACTGCATTCATGACCTATAGTGATTTGAAGAGCCCTACGCAAATCTGATTTTTGACCGGATATTTTAACCCACTCCTCACATCGCCCAAATTTATCAAGACTGCACACGTGTCTAATTGTGTCTTCACCTTGCGCAATCAAAACCCTTCCTCTTTTCAGCCTCTTACTGATAGCTCTACCTAGAGCTTTCAGTTAGAATGTGAATCCTGTCCGCAGCTACTCTGGGATATGACTTTGCTTGCAGAACTTTGAGTCTGTCTGCAATAGTAGGCAATGCAATTATATTTCGCATTTACTCTACTAGGATATACCTCGTACATTCCAGACGTACCCGCATGGCTTCATTCTGTATGCGTTCAAACTGTATCAGCTAGCGCTTTGATATGTGCAGCATTCCAAGTCCATAACCTATCACCAACATGATCACATGCTGGAACATTGTGAACAGCATTCATTGGTCCAAGTCTATTGCTGCATAATCTTGAGGGCATTGAGTCCTTTTTGACATTTCACGACAACTTAGTTAGTTAGTCTTTCCTCTTGTGTCGAGTGCGGCACATAGGGCAGAGGTCATGACTCTCCATGCATGGCGGTTCGTTGCAATCTGTTGTAGGTCTTGGATGTTTGAGTGGCCCATGAGCGAGCCTTCCCTGATGATAGTTCTTCGTAGGGTTTCCCTTGGTCTTCCACGAGATCTTTTCCCCTGTGGGGTCCAAATGAGGGCTTGGTAAGGAAGTCTTGATTTATCCATTCTAAGGGCGTGGCCGACATAGTTCCATAGTTTCGTATAAAATTAGACACATACTCTTGCCTGGATTCTTGCCTTATTTGTGTATTGGTTCGGAAATCTGACCATTTGAAATTTAGTATTCTTCTTATGCATTTATTTTCAAAACTGTCTAATTTTGTGTCTAGAGTTTTCGTTGATTTCCAGCTCTCGCATCCATAGGTTAGTACTGGAATCACACAAGAATTGAAGATCTTGAGTTTTGTGTGTTTGCTAAGTGTCTTTGATTTCCAGATGTTGGACAGTTTATTGAAGGCACTAGATGCCAGTGCTATTCTAAATGGTATTTCTGGTGCGGTATCTCCTGTAGATGACATCTTGCTCCCTAGATAAGTGAAACTGTTGACTTTTTCAAGGCTGTTGTTGTTCAGCGTGATATCAACTGAACTGTTGGTAAGGTCTAGAATTTTTGTTTTTGTGGTGTTAATTTGGAGTCCAATTTGTTCTGAGAAATTCTGGAGTCGATTGATTTTTTTCTTGGGCGTCTGTGTGTTCTGAACTCAGGAGTGCTATGTCGTCGGCGAAGTCTAGGTCTTCCAGAATTTTGTCAACCCATGTAATGCCTAAATTTGCGTTATTTATGCACTTGCGCATGACCCAGTCGATTGCTATACCAAAAAGCATCGGCGATAGGACACAGCCTTGCTTCACTCCTGTTTCCACCGGGAACCAGTCAGAATTGCCGGAATCAGTTCTTACACAGCATCGTGTTTCATTATAAAAAGATTTTATGATGTTGATATATTTGATGGGAAAACCATAGATGTTAAGCAATTTCCAGAGTGTTGGACGATGGATACTGTCGAAGGCTTTTTGGAAGTCGACAAAGTTGATCAATAATTTCGACTGGAATTCTGTAGAATCTTCAACAATTATTCTAAGAGTAAAGATGTGGTCTATGCATGACCGCTTGTATCTAAAATCGGCTTGTTCTTCCCTTAATCTGTCATCTATGGATTTTTTCAATCTTTCTAGTAGCATACTACAAAATAGTTTCCCTGGTATCGAAAGCAAGGTGATGCCTCTCCAGTTGTTCCAATCGGATAAATCACCTTTTTTAGGTAATTTGAAGATTACACCATCTTTCCATTGTTGTGGTGGGTATTCGTTTTGCCAGACTTCATCCATCAGCTGGAGCAAATGTTGCAGGGTGTTTTCATCCGCTGCTTTGAGCATTTCCCCTGAGATGTTGTCCTCTCCGGTAGCTTTGTTTATTCTTAATTTTTTAATAGCTGTTTAAATCTCCTCTATTGTGAATGACTCGCTGGAGGCAACTAGTGTCGGTGTAATAATTTCTTCTTCTAGATTGGGAATGATGTCAGGATTTGGTCTATTTAATATTTCCTTGAAATGTTCTGCCCATCGCTTTGTTTGTTGGTCGTCGGATAGCAGTAGTTTACCCTGCTTGTCTTTAATGGGTGTATTTAGTGTAGGTGAGTGATTGCACAGTTGTTTCATAATATGGAATACGGCTTTGTTGTTTCCAATCTTGGCAGCTGTTTCAGCATCGGAGGCGAGGTCGTGTATGAAGTTCTGTTTGTCTTTCCTTGCATTTGATTTCACTTCTTTGTCTAGCGTGCTGTATTTTTCCTATGAAGATGTGTCTTTTTTGGATAAAAGTGTTAATTTTGCTTGTTTCCTTTCTTTGATTTTTGACCAGGTGTTGTCGCTTAGCCACTTCTTTTTCTGCTTTTGTACATAACCAACTGTGTTTACTGCAGCGTTCGTCAGTGTGTTCTTGAAAAAGTCCCAATTTTTGTCTATGTTATTTGTAGTATCCGCATTACTAGTTTTGGTTACATAGGTGGTGAGTATCTCTGCATTAAATGCGCTTTGATGATCTTTTGACAAAAGGGCTTGTAAGTTTATTTTCTTATTTCTGGGTGGTTTAAGTAGAGACTTGAGTTTAATTTTTAGTTTGGCAATACAAAGATTGTGATCACTGCCAATATCAGCTCCCCTGTAGGCTCTAACGTCTTGCACTGATGTACGGAATTTGGCGCTGATGCAAAAATGATCTATCTGGTTTTTTGTTATGTTATCTGGCGAAATCCAGGTTATTTTATGTATGTCTTTGTGCGGAAATAAGGAGCTTGCTACTGTTAGATTTGCTATTTCACAGAGTTCAATTAGCCTTTCTCCGTTTTGATTCATATCTCCTGGGCTGTGTACTCCCATATATTTTTGAACACCTTTGTTGTCAGACCCTAACTTGGCATTAAAATCGCCCATTACAATAAGGAGGTCGTGCTTAGGAGTTTTGTTTATGGCACCAACCAGGAGGTCAAAGAAATGATCTTTGATGCTGTCAGTGTCGTTGTTCGTAGGTGCGTAGCACTGTATAATAGTTAGTTTGAAATGTTTGGTCTGAAAACGCGCTGTTAAAATTCTGTCATTTACTGGTTCACGACAACTGCCTCCACGTAATTCCTTAAGGACAGGCTTCTATCGAAAGTGACAACCTGGTACCTCAGTTTGCTTTCTCTTTCGATGTTTCTGTAATTAATTGTGAGGCTTGGAACATTAGCTCTTACAATTTTATTGTCCAGTAAGTACCAAAAAACAGCCCACTTCTCTGACTTGATGACAGCACCCATCGCTACATACCAGTCAGTCACTTTGTCTACAGTTGACTATATCTCTTGGGCTGTTTATTGCCGATCGTTCCCGCTGCCTATAAGCAAGAACATCATCAGCAAATGTCAATATCCTTCCAATAGCTGGTGCTTCAAGCTCTGCAATCTTTCTTGTATACGGATTAAAGAGCACTGGTGAAATTGCAGAACCATGTGTTAGTCCTAGGGCGAAACTGTACCCATGCGAAGGGCAACCATAGGTGAATTCAGGACAGCTGTTATCTATTTCACCAGCCAGGGACAAACCCCTTTTCCACGAAAGCTGATATAAAAATATCATATCTGACTGTTGTAGGCATCCTCAAGATCAAATACTGTCACTGTCGTCTCATGTCTTTTCTGGAACCCCCAATAAACACACCATGGCCGGGACCTAACAAAGCCTTTACGCATGAGCTGTTTCCTTGAGAAAAACATCTTTTTTTTTTTTTTATGCAGCCATTTTCAGTTTGGTCGACATGCATCACTGTTTATCTCAGAAAGCGATGAGTTATAAAAAAACTTCTTTATATTGTAGGGCTGTTAACTCCGTTGACAAATCTAGTTGTTTGTCCACATCTGAACTTTTGCTGGCGTTCACACTGACTTTAAGGGAAACGTCAAACATATATATATTGCTAAGTCCTTAGTTTGAAGCATGTTTCCAGAATGACTGCTGTGAAGTCTTGGCTATTACGGAGCTTGCATCTTTGGGGGGGGAAAAAAGTCAATTTTAAAACATTTTTTAACAACATTGCCTCTCGGCGCAGATTGCAACCCTAGCTCCAAGTGGATCATCTTTCGACAATACTAAATGTTTCATCAGCGGCTTTGGCTTCACCTCGAAATCAGGACCTGTCTCCCCACAACTGCTGGAGGTTAAACTGACCCAGCTCACCACAGATGATTGTGCATCCAGATGGCCAGAAGAGAACATCAACATTAAGCACATCTGCATCTTCGACGATTCAGGTATTCTCCTGGGGCAGGATAATTTCATCTTCTCAATCTACACTTTTCCTTGTCCTTCTTATCGTCCATCTACACCATTTCTCGACTCCATATTCTTCGTCATCATCTTCTTCTTCACGCTCCTCTCTTTCATCTTCTTCTTTGTCTTCATTCTTTGTGTTTCTCGTTTTTTCTAGTCTTCCTCGTATTCCTCTTCATCATTTAGTTTTTCTCTTCTCTTCCTCCCCCTCCTCCTCTTGATTCTTCTTCTTCTTCTTCTTCTTCTTCTTCTTCTTCTTCTTCTTCTTCTTCTTCTTCTTCTTCTTCTTCTTCTTCTTCTTCTTCTTCTTCTTCTTCTTCTTCTTCTTCTTCTTCTTCTTCTTCTTCTTCTTCTTCTTCTTCTTCTTCTTCTTCTTCTTCTTCTTCTTCTTCTTCTCTTCTTCTTCTTCTTCTTCTTCTTCTTCTTCTTCTTCTTCTTCTTCTTCTTCTTCTTCTTCTTCTTCTTCTTTCTTCTTCTTCTTCTTCTTCTTCTTCTTCTTCTTCTTCTTCTTCTTCTTCTTCTTCTTCTTCTTCTTCTTCTTCTTCTTCTTCTTCTTCTTCTTCTTCTTCTTCTTCTTCTTCTTCTTCTTCTTCTTCTTCTTCTTCTTCTTCTTCTTCTTCTTCTTCTTCTTCTTCATCTTCTTCTTCTTCTTCCTCTTCTTCTTCTATTTCGTCTTCTTCGTCCTCTTCATCATCATCGCCATCATGAACATAAGATTCTGCTTCTTTTTCTTCTTGTTATCCCTATGTTTCAGCGTTTACCAGTAAATGGTCAAAAATGATACATAGTGGTTTGCAGCAAACTAAATTATCAACGCCTGTTAGCATAACACATCCTTATTTCAGCAAATGTTTTCGGAAAACTCATTATATAGTTTAATTAAAGAATAGGTTTTAACTACAAACACATACGCATGCTAATATAACTATTATGGCTGTACCGAATAGTGATTTTCACTATTCGGCCGAATACGAAAAGCAGGACCAACTATTCGGCCGAATACGAAAACTAATAGTGCCTTATAATCATCAGGTACCTTGCCGACTGGCGTGGTCGATTAGGCCTTGCCATAATCTGCGATCTACTGCAGCATGTATCAGTTCGTGTGCTGACACACCTCCATGCCATGTAACAATTACTGTAAAAAATCTTCTCTCGTTATCTTCCTTTATCCCTCCTCCCACAGGTCTTTCCAGTGGTCACCACATGTTCCATTTTATTTCTTCTCATAACATGGCCAAAAAATTAGGACTGTCTTCTTCTGATGCCTGTGATTAGTTGTCTTTGAGCTCCCGCCTCTTTCAAAACCTCTTGGTGTTTTTTGGCTGCAAGGTATTTAAGCACTGTTCTGAAAAACCTTATCTCTGAGGCCCCAAGAAATTGTTTGGCCTGCCTACCGATTGTCCAGGACTCACAGCCATATGTTAAAACCGGATGTATTTAGCAAGCAAGAGTTTTTTTTCTAACCATTAATGACAAAGTTTTATTGCATAAGATGTTCTTCATTTTATAAAATGCAGTTTTTGCCTGTCCTTTTCTGTTTTTCTTATTTCAGTAATGCATCTTCCATCTGATGTTATCCCTGTGCCCAGATACTTAAATTTCAGTACTTGTCCCAACATAACATCATTGACTTTTATTACACATTTATGAATAATTCTTTTCCTTCATAAACCCATTCTATCTTGCCACTATTCAAACTGAGGCCCATTCTTCCACTTTCGAATAATGTATAGTGTATAAAATAGATCTAAAAAACAATTATAATGTCAGATGTACGCTGAAATTTTACTTTACAAAATGTAGTACAGAATAGTAAACATTTGAAAACATTTCATGTTTTGCATCCTTCAATGAGTCAGTCTGCGGAAACTAATACCTAGGAATAAAAGTACTCTTAGTTCTATAACAAATAACTAAACTTGTAAACTATAACTGACAGCTTTGTTAATGCATGAAAGCGACTTGGGCAACAGAAACTATCGCAGTGTATGTAGAAACGGATGTAAGGTAACCACTATTCGTATTCGGCCCGACCGCAAGTATTCGGCTGAATATAGAATTGTTATTAGGTCCATTATTCGGCCCCGAAGCGAATACGAAGCGAATATTCGTAATAGCCCTAATAACTATACGATGACGATACATGTCAGTGTATGCGATTTGTACCAGTTTTGTTATGGAAAAGAACAGGCTATAATAAATATGAAAGTAAACGGTCTGGGCTACATGAATGTAACCTGGCTGTCAGATGGAGTGGCATGTCAATGGGCTTAAGTGCTCACTTAGTATTGACTTCGCTGTAGTAGTCAGTAAGGCATTTAAACGTCCTTTAGTGAAAATTTAAACTAAGAAATCGTCGCAATCATAATGGTTAAACAAGAAAAGTAAATTTTTTGCATCAATCTTGGTCTTAGGTTTCAAAATTAATTAGTGGAAGGTATTCGGATGATTTAGAAGGCTCTTGGGAATATTGCGTTTAGTGCACGACAAATAAACGTATGGTACAAATGCTTCAAATGTACTCGAGAATCTGTTGAAAAGGATCCTATTAGCAACTGGGGTACGACGTTCCTTCTTTTCTTGTAGCATAATTTTAACAACGAATTTTGCCAAGACTTGTCTCATGTCAAGATTCTTGGCCAGAACGTTTAGCGTCGCTTTTAGCGTCGCACTGATTGGTACGGCGATTTCTTCGTTGCAGCATTTATGAGCATGACGGGTCACTCTATTTGGATTTCACGGTACATTAACGTCCTGTAGACCATTCTCTTTCATATTAACTATTTCATGTTCTTTTCCAGATAGCAGATCATCAGCGTGCAGTTAATACATTTTGCAGGTACAGTTTTCAAACCTTCTGCAATAGGAGGTGATACACACCCTACGGTACGCGAAAAAACATGTCTGAGAACCAGGACGTTATCAGAATTAGTGCACAATTCTTTGTTTTTTTCACATTTTCCAGCTAGGATTGCAGCCTTATAGCATGAGATCACAATGATGAGTGTAAATCCTTCTTCTTCTTCATGTTCACAGGCTATGAACTCCGGGAGATGTGTGTTGTTGTTTGTCCACCTCTGGACTTTAGTGTTGCTTTAGAACCAGTTTGTTGCAAGCACATCCGAAAGAGGGGCATTGGCTCTCTTTTTGGTTTGCTTACAGTGGCGCGCCGAAAGCCACTCGGAGAGGGTGTAAATCCAACAAAATTCTAAACATTCCATGCAGAATAGTTGTGTTCCGGCACTATATCGTTACAAGGTTATCTGCTTTCTGTTGGGCTTTTGGTGCATATGTGCGTGCGTGTGTGTTTGTGTGTGCGTGCAAGTGTGTGCGCGTGCAAATTCTTAAAACTCTGTTCAACTGTTTAGCCAAACAGCACGGTTATATTTAGGAACCGCAAAATCATGACGATGATGATGAATTTGATGATCATGATGTTGATGATGATCATGATGATGATGATGATGAGTGTGATGAGTGTGATGATTGTGATGACTGTGATGACTGTGATGATTGTGATGATTGTGATGATGGTGATGAGTGTGATGATTGTGATGACTGTGATGAGTGTGATGATAGTTATGAGTGTGATGATTGTGATGATGGTGATGAGTGTGATGATTGTGATGACTGAGATGATTGTGATGATTGTGATGACTGTGATAATTGTGATGACTGTGATAACTGAGATGATTGTGATGATGGTGATGAGTGTGATGAGTATAATGATTGTGATGATGGTGATGAGTGTGATGATTGTGATGATGATCATGATGATGATGATGATGATAGTGATGAGTGTGATGATTGTGATGACTGTGATGATTGTGATGATGGTGATGATTGTGATGAGTGTGTTGATTGTGACGATGATGATGGTGGAGATGATGATGATGATTCTAATGATGATTGTGCTGATTATGATAATGATGCTGATCTGATCTGCTTTCTGTTGGGCTTTTTGTGCATATGTTCGTGCGTGTGTCTTTGTGTGTGCGTGCAAGTGTGTGCGAGTGCAAATTCTTAAAACTCTGTTCAACTGTTTAGCCAAACAGCACGGTTATATTTAGGAACCGCAAAATCATGACGATGATGATGAATTTGATGATCATGATGATGATGATGATGATGATCATGATGATGATGATGATAGTGATGAGTGTGATGATTGTGATGACTGTGATGATTGTGATGATTGTGATGACTGTGATGATTGTGATAATGGTGATGAGTGTGATGATTGTGATGATGGTGATGAGTGTGATGATTGTGATGATTGTGATGAGTGGGATGATAGTGATGAGTGTGATGAGTGTAATGATTGTGATGAGTGTGGTGACTGTGATGATTGTGATGATGGTGATGAGTGTGATGATTGTAATGATGATCATGATGATGATGATGATAGTGATGAGTGTGATGATTGTGATGACTGTGATGATTGTGAAGATGGTGATGATTGTGATGAGTGTGTTGATTGTGACGATGATGATGGTGGAGATGATGATGATGATTCTAATGATGATTGTGCTGATTATGATGATGATGCTGATGGTTATGATGATTGTGATGATGATCATGATGATGATATTGATGACTGTGATTATTGTGATGATGGTGATGATAATAAAAATGATGATGATATACAGTTCTATGGATAGATTTCTCTTAGCTATAGAATCTGCTATTGGTGCTATGGGTAATCCCTGATCCGTCTCTTTTCCTAACAAACATGTAGCTATTGCAAGAGACCGATCCACCAACAATATTTATCGACCACTTTTGGAGTATAGTTTAAGTGCGGCTGTACATGAATCCTGTGAAAGGCTATTGCATTTTATTCTAAGTCATATTTATCTGTATTCAATTACTGATAAGCACTAGTTCTCCTGTGGTCAGGGTGATCCAGTCTTCTTCTTCTTGTGCCTTTCTATCCCCCACTGGAGCATAGGCCCTCAACCAACTCACGCCAAATCATTCCATCCTTCGCCATTGCATGTAGCTCTCCCCATGTCCTCCCCATCTTTCTAACTTCATTCTCCAGCTCTCTTCTCCATGTGTTTTTTAGAGTGATCCAGTAGAACTGAGATATAAGCGGTAGAAATTTGCCTTACAGAGGACGTAGAACGAAAGGTAACTTTTTTTACACATAGAAAATAAAACTGTAATTCTTGAATTGTTTTATATTTTTTGTGATGTTTATAATAATAAATTAAAAACATGCACCACGTAATACATAGAAGCTCCTCCACAATCCCCTTACACACACACACACACACACACACACACAGACAGACACACACAAGTGAAAAGAGATTATGATTATATATGATTATATTTATGCTGAATATATATGGTAGAGGACCCTTTTCGACGACCTTAGGCGTATTAGGTCGATAGTGTTAGACTTAAATGTCATCGACCACTCGGTACTCGATGGGGGTGATGTAGTCAACATCAGTCTGGCCGCCTTTACAACCAAGGACTTATCTTGGTACCAGTTTTGAGCTTGGTCGACCTAGGAGCATTTTTTAATAACAAGTCTGTCACCATGCTGATTTTGACACACACACACACATATACGCAGACTCACACGCACACACACACACACACATACCACGCTCTCCGACCCCAAATTTTCTTACTAATCGGGTTTCCTGTTGAAAACATACCATTTCTACATTATCAGAAACTGACCCTACAACTCGGCCCGGTGCCTGCATGGGGGACAGTGGTGGTCCAATGATGTGTGGCGACACATTTGAGTACCTGGCAGGCGTCACCTCCTGGGGAGGGTCCAGCTGCAGTGGTAAGCTTCTGTTTGAAAGGTTCGGAATAGAATGGGAGTTGTGTAAAGAAATGTAAAAATTGGGAGCTGGATTGGGTAAAAAAGGGGTAGGGGTAAGGAGGGGGGGGGGGGGTTGCTTTATTGCAAGAAAATTAGTAGCGTAATCTGCATGTGGCATTGCTAAGTAAAAGTAAAAAAAGTAAAGGACCCTCTTCCAAGCCTATGAGCGTGTAGGGCATTTAGGGCTAGACCGATATTTTTGTAGACCAATCGGCACAAGATGGGTGATGTGGTGGTGAGCATCACGCCAGCCGCCTTTACTTCCCGGGACTGCACCCGGAACCCACTAAAGGCTGGGTCACCCTGGGAGCCAAGGTCATTTCTGAAAAAAGTCCGGCTCTGCCAGGGAGCGAACGTACGACCTTTTGATCTTCGGGAAGCGTCTAGCCGCTCTGCCACGGTGACTCCCGGCATTGCTAAGCCATCCATATTATTTGTTGACTGCGGTTTTACTAATTGTGCGTTCAATAGCTGTCATAACTCGAAGCGCGCGTTCAGCTGCGCATACCATTATCAAATTCAACGCACAGAAAGTTGCTGCCTGATCGCCTGAAACTGAACCAAACCAGTATTTCTAGATTACAAACTGTGTTAGTCAACAGGGGTCGACCCTTAGTAAGGTGGTGGAGTTTTGCTGCCAGCGAGGGGGGGGGGGGGGGGGCAACACTAGCCATGCGGTCCTACGATCCTGGCTCATAACTTCCCTATCAACATACACCGCCCTAAAGTAGAAGTAAATACAGACAGTGATGACAATGACAGTTCGTAAACGGGAGGCCATGTTTCAGCAGTTTTTTTTTTTTTTTAAATTTAAAACTAATTAAAATTAGGTATCACTATTAACTATTATTAGACAACAAAACGCATTGTAACACTTAGAATATTTTAGTCTTTGAGTCCCAAGGAACGCATCATACATTCATAGGTTCCCATCTAGAGGCCCAATGAACGCAAGATGCGCCGATTTTACATCTCTTTTGACTACCGCTTGGGCCTCTAATGCTAAACCCCCTGGGACTCAAAGAGTTAAAGACCTTTTTCGACACCTTAGACGCTTTGGGTATGGCAGACCTGTATTTTCCAGAACAACCGGCCCTCTGTTAGTGATATGCACAGTATCACGCTGGACGTCTGTATGCCCCAGAGCTTTATCTGTTCCAAATTTCAATCGAGGCTGTCTGGGGACCGATCGGAAAGTCGTGGGTTCGGGCCGATCATAATCGAACGATTTTTTTAATGACCTTGGCTCCCAGACTTATATAGCCTTAATGTACCAACTGCAGTCCTGGGAAGTAAAGGCAGTTGGTGTGATCGTAACCACAGCACCCATCGAGTACCGATTGGTCTACGAAATATAGGTTTAACCCTATATGCCCCAGACACATATGTTCTAAAGTGGTGGGAATGGGTCCTTTACTCTTTTATCCTTACCTAAAAGTCGAGGTAATTTTTGAAAGAAACACAATTATATTGCCTCGATTGTGATTGACACCCCTTACCTTCATGACCATAGGCGAACCTCTATTCGTTTCAACGGCGGCTTTCAAACACTTCAAAAATGTTCGTTTAATTTACAATCTGGATAGGGCGTAAAGAAGTTAAGTCAGACACATCTACCTAAAATCATTTGATGAGTTGTTTAGTTCTGAAAGCGTTTAAAACATTGAAAGAGATCCTTGTTTTGTATGTTGTTAGACATCATGATGTGTGTAGTTGCTAAACAGTGTAACATCTTTCTACAGGTAAATATCCAAGTGTGTACACTCGTGTGACTGAATATCTTGATTGGATTGCTCACAACTAAACGAACCGCCAAAGATGACCGAACTTTATTCCACCGAGTTCGCGGGAATTTAAATAGTAATTTCATACCAGTGTTTATCAGCTGTACATAAATTAGGATACTGTTTTAAATTTTTTTCAGAGCTCACAAACTTAGAACTTTTGAACACTCTAGAATTTAGAACATCATATAGTGTGTCCTTAACTGGCATCATAACCAATATGGACAGAAAATATGTGTTGTTTTAAACATCTCTGGTGTCGCAGGTCGACCCAGCCTAAATGGGTACCAGGATGGCTGTCCTAGGAAAGTAAAGACAGCTGGCGTAATGCTGACCCCATTACCAACCTAGTCCCAAACGGTCTGTAAAAGTATGGGTTCTCTTCCCATATGTCCGATGCGCCTAAGGCGTAAAAAGGGATCTTTACAATCATCTATGTCTTCGTACATTTAATTACCCTCGCGCTATTTATATCTTGTGACCATCTTTGTTTTCTGGTTGTCACATGCCTCTCTTTCCTTGCACCATGCCTTCTACTACTGTTTTTTCCAATTTGCTTTGGCGCTTAACACAAGGTCCGACAATTAACTCTTTGAGTTCCAAGGAACGCATCACGCGCTCATTAATGAGACTAATTCAACAAAGATTCAAATAATCAACAGTTGAAGATATAACATGTATTTTATTCAAAGTAAGCCCCTTGTGCATTGATATAGTGAGTAGCACAATCTAACAAACACTGAAACTACCTCTGTAGTTTTTCTGTTGCTATGGCCCTTAAAGTCGATGTTACAGCCCTTTGGGTGTCATCAATATCGTAAAAAAAGTATTCAATAGTAACTTTAAGTTTGGGAATAGATAATAATCACAGGGAGACAAATCTGGGGAATAGAGTGGATGACTGAGAACACACACTTGTTTTGGGGCCAAACATTGATGTTGTGGGTACTAAACCCGCTGATGTATTTGGTCTTCAGACAAGGAATGCAGTGCAAAGCTGCAAGCAACTTTTTTTCTTGCCCATCATTACAAACAGAAATTGGGCGTCTAGGTCTAGTTGCAGTAGCAATCATTTCTACATCACTTCTGAATCGTGAATACCATCTGAAAATATGTGCACTAGATAAACAATTATCCCCGTAAACTTGTCGCTTTATTTCAACTGTCCCAGTGGCGCTTTTTTATGAGTTTTAAACAGAATTTAATGTTAGCTTTTTGATCCATGTTGATTTAGTAACAATGCACACCTAACTAGGTCAATAAAATGGCAGTTTGTTTGTCGTCTGCTTATCAGACGGCTGCCATATTATAGATGAATTTTGCCTCTTTGGATTCCATGCTTTGCTTCAAAGATGGCACATTTGTCTTGGCCGTAATAAAATCAGTCTCATTACTTAATTGTCGGATCTTTTATGACCAAAATATATCAGTCACAGAGATACGATACTGCTTACTAGCCAAATTTCCTTGATGTCCATATCTTTTAGGATTTGACTAGTTTTCCTTCTTGGCCAATTGTATTCGGATAATCTTCCTGTCTTATTTCAACCTAAAAGCCCGTTTTCTTCCTTGGGGACTGCACGATAGACTACCACCTCTTCACACCCATATGTTGCTTCACGGAAGTTTCATGACCCCAAAATGTTTACCTTGATTTCCTTGCTAATGTTTAATCACAGACATATACTACTGTTGTTGTTTTTTGTTTTTGTTTTGTTTTTTAAATAGATTTTGTAAAACAGTGAACTACATATTTTGCCCAAACCTTACATAATTTGTTTATTCTCTAACAAACTAGCTGCCACATGCTTAAAAAAAAAAAAAACAATCATTTATGCCAGAATAAAGAGTGAGAATTCAGAATACAGAATACTTCTTTATTGAATATTTCAGAGTGTTTCTGTGTGTTAATGTAACGATACAATAAATCAATCAGTTAGTAATAATAATACCCACCACAGAAAAGAGTTGCCGCAAGAAAAACTAATTTACTGTTAAATGAGATTTTTTGTATTTGCTTCTTTGGAGTCAAATTTAAAAAAAAATTTGCTGTTGAAGCTAACAGGTGTCAGTTTCTTAGGCTGAAATGTAAAAGAGAAAATGTTGACACTTGTTAGATGTCAGCTAGAACAATTATGGGTTCCTATTGCAGCAATGAATCATATTATCTCTTAGCCTCTCTTGCTCAAACCTACCCCCACCTACATGTGGTGGGTGCTTTTTTTTCTTCTAATAATCTAGTAGAAGGTTGGGAACTCAACCCCTGGGAAAAAAACTGAATGAGACAATAGATAAGGTAAAAGTTAAATCCGGTTCCGTACGCCAGCTAATGAGTTGATGGCAATATGTGACATCGTGAGCTGTTCATTTAATCAGGAATGCTTGTTGTCTATGCTCCCAGTGATGTATTGTAAACTGAATATGCAGAGAATGGTGAGTGGCTGGTTGCCACAGAACTGGGAATGTGTCTTATGCAGTAGCGCACAAAAGCTGGTTTGCCGTGACTGCTGCTTCCATCAACTATGACTAGCAATTCTAGCGACAGATTCTATGTGTTTGGTACCTTTGGCGGCTGCTTGCAAACTAAAACGATGCCAGAGGCGTGATCAGCTGGAAGAAAACGACATATAGAAATATTTGGGTAGAAGCGATGTTGTCAACGCCTTTCACAGCACCTACTAACGAGGTAAAGAGCATGATTTAGTATCCCTGTCTAAACAGATAAACATGGGGGTACATCGTGGAGCTGCCAGAAATTATCATTTCACTAAGTGAACAAGGCGTTTGATGGTACAACTCACGAAAGTCACACCATCTCGTAGGATGCGAGATTTCGCCAAGGATTTCGCGGGACACTCCTATAGTTTAGGAGTTTTATGTGTTCCTAGTTTTGAACGTTTTAAGTACATCCACCACCGTCAGCCACCGCAGACCAGCTTAAAAATATGAAAACATCAATGATGCGATACTCACGAACCGTCACGCCATGGGCTCTTCTTCCTGCAGTATTTTTCCATGTACACGGCACATTCGGTGCCTAGCATCTACTCACAACCACAACACATACCAGAAACGACAATCGTTCACATGAAACTGCCCACTTTTGTCTCGTAGACAGTGAGTCGACTACCTTGAATGAAATCAAGCCATTTTTTTGGCATGCTGTGTGTAGACGGTGAAGAAAGACAACTCATAACACCTCCAGAACATAGGACATCCCATGGAAACCGCAA